GGATTAGTGATTAGCCGTCTAATGTTTTGTTTTTCCTGTGACGGCAAAGTGATCTCTGTTAAGGAGTTGTCTCAGTTTTGGAAAAAAACTGTGGGTCTGATTTAGTGGGTCTGGTGTTATTCACAAGGGGGCTACTCTTCGTGGACAATTTGTCAGAGAGCACTAAATCCCATATAGCAAAATGCTGTAGGTTACTTGTGGGTTCACACAAACGATCAGCATTCGGATGTTTCCCTGCGGAGACGATTTTATGTCAACCTGTGGAAATTGCAGAAATTTAAACACACTTCATTCTTTGGTTTAGTAATTGGGAAGAAGTGTGTGGTTTTGCAGATTAGAACTTGTTATCACTCGATCAAAATTGTTGTTAAGGTGTTCAATCATTCGTTCGGACTAAGGGTCGGTTACATAAAAGTTGGAAAAACCTTTCTGCAGCTCTTTGATCACGCGATTTTTAGACAGTATTCCGCTGGTGGTCTAACGATTTCTACACTAGAGCGATCGCCGGATTTGTTCAGACCAAAAACATCCACTCAGTCGAAAATCTCCTTGTGACCGGGTTAAACAAAACACATATTCACTGTGATGTTTTAGCTGGAGCAATATGAGCCACCTCGTCTGTGTTGTAACTTGAGTCAATCAACGACAATTCCTGGTTGCAGGATATTGCGCTGGTAATGAGGTTGCTCAAAACTTATCGACAGCCCACAACTGGTTTCGCCCTTCCTGGGGCTCATAAGGTAGGTGCAGAAGCCGAGTTTCCGTCGACCTAATGTAAGTAACTTGTCTTTAGGTGTCACAGTTGACACTAACACTAAAGTCATACTTTCAGGCCTTAGGGAGTAATTCTTCCTACTAGAGAACGTGCTTTGCTCGTTCTGTTTCGATCCGACTGTTTCCGCGTTTATCGGCGTTGAACGAATAGCAGGCGTTTTTTTCTGATACTAAAGTGCTCTAGCTTATTCGAGTTGAATGAACGAAATCGTGGGACTCATTAGACTTAAATTTACAAAACTAATCTCCTACCACTGTGAAGAACCAAATGCAAGCCAAGTGGGCACATACATAACCCGTATACACCTGAGTAAGTTGCTGTATGTCACAGTTTACACGTGTATGTGTGCCTTCACACGTGTGTATTCAGGAGAGAGAGCCGTGTCGAGGGGGAGAAGGAAGCAAGGCGAAATGCCTGTTGTTTACATCGTCTGAAGTGTATAGACATGTTCGGTGTGACATAAGTGTACCGAGTTGAAGTAGCCGATTCCATCAGCAAGTTTAGTGGGAAACACAGGCTGCTACACCACTTGAAAGCAACGAAAACAGGTGATGTTTACAATCTCAGCGACCAACTACCGCTCACCGGTGCTGTTCAGAGAACTGTTTGACAGTCTAAGCAGTGCACGCATGTGTATCTCCTTGTTCGTAAATCTGAGCACGGCGCGGTCGGACAAAAGCATCTGAACAGCTTGGGGAAACAAGACCCCCCAGAGTTTGGGGCAAGCCATGGCTATTTCATGATTTAAGAACTAGGTATTTCAACCAAACGTGACTTCTTCGTAAACAAGGAAACGATTGCTTGGAGCTACCCAAATAGAACACACCTCACGAACCTCGAATGCACATGTAACAGTTTAAGTGTTCCGACAAATACGCATATCAATTTTGTTTTTAGCGGGAGGCTCAAATGAATCTTCCTTGAAAACCCAGTTGATATGCACACGAGTATATAGGCGGAAATCTGCCCCATTTGGGTTCAAGTGGAGTATAAGGTTGGGGGGACCTGGGAGACCGCGCCAGCCTGATGAGCCCCAAGAAAGGCGGAGCCGGTTGTCGACTGTCGAAGAGTTTTCAGCAACCTTATGAGTGGTTTCCCTTGGGTCACATGTTCATATGTCACATGTTTTTAATAACGTGATGCCAAGGAAAGGCAGTGTAGAAGAATTGGTAACCGTGACCTCACAAGATTCAATGGGGACTAAACCCCATACTGACGATGTCGAAGCGATTGGTGATGAAACGTTTGCAATCCAACTGTCAAGCTCGGCGAACAGACTAACAACAAAGCAAGCAGACCAAGTTAATGGAAAAGTGAATTCGAATAAAAAGCGTGCAGACTGCATAGGGTCACAACGGTGGTTTCAGTTACATGCAAGATATGATAACAGTGTCTCGCTGAAAGTCTCTATCCGGCCTCACAGTCCGTTGGGTCTGTCCCTTGCCTATTAATGCAGTTATCAGCGTTTAGCTGAACTTCCGCACAATCGATCAGTCACACGAAAGATAGGCGAAGCTTAAATTACACCCTCAGGAAGGAATGCTCAATTAGTGTGGTAGTAGAGGAGAACATAAATCATAGCGTTGATTCAAAAGGCGAAATGACTGGTAATTACCGGTTACGGGTGACGGGATCAGCACACATTCATATCAGCTGATTTTACGGGTCCTAAGTGAGACGTGCGGCAGCAGTCGTAATACCAACATCGTCCAGACAACAGATAGTAGTTAGTTCACAACACGGAGACGAAAAGTCCGGAGAAAACAGATCCGGCCCCAGAATGTAGCCAGATTAACAGTTATTTCTCAGGGGCAAATAATATAGGATGGCGAACAAGGTCTTTCATCAGAGTACTAGATCTTTACCAACATCCCATTTTTCTACCTTTGAGAATACGTTCATCGAACTATCCAAGGTTTTCCAAGCAACCTTGAGATAAGACTACCAACAAGGTTTAGATGAAAAGCAACCATAGACAGAAACTACTCGGGAAAGAATAAAAATAGTTGCTTCGCAGTGATGTCTAAGTCATCTTGGGCTAAGCGATGCTCCATGTCAACGCTTTGGCCAGCTGACAATAATAATTGCCCAACACTGGAAATCTTCCAGAAGTATACATACTCCTATTTGGTAAGTTCTACCCGATTCAGTATCTCTTGGACGCGGCGAAATATCTAGACAAAGTAGATTGTTTCTGCAGTTATATGAAGAGCCCAAGCAGAATACATAGTTTTGTCAAATCCTTCAACTCGGGGATTAGTCCCAAGAAAGAACCTGTCAAACAAACATAAGATAGGGTGTTTTGTGCATACCTCCTAAAATCTCGAGGGAAGCACACCAGAATAACTTCATGTGTGGTCTTATGATACCTTTTTCTGGGCTAGGAAGGAAAACAACCGCAACTTGGCCCTATTAAATAGGGATATCCTAACTGGGTCAAGCAGAACACAGTGGAACAGCGGATAAAAATTTATTTGAAGGGGACCTTGCCTCTGTTCAGTTAAGCTGCCAAAACTGTTCCGAAACACCAAAGCGGACGAACTNCACGACGGATCCTTGAGACAAACAAGTTGATTGCTCCACTGCAGACTGACGACTGCAGAACTGCACATGAGTGCTGACATATCAAAGACAAAAATATTGCAATTTGTGCCGAATTATTCCGCACAGATTTAGCGAATCGAAAACGTAACATCATGGGCACAAACTGTTAACCAGTCAAACGGAAGTCAGATAAATAAACAGCTAGCCATTTAGACGTGAACGATTCTAATACTAGGTGAACGGACCTACTAATTCGAAAACTAAAAGCGTATACTTATCAGTGAACCAAAGATGTCACCTTATTGGGAAAAGGTCGATCCGTTGCCATCACTGAGCCAGACATATGAGCTCCAAAATGGGAACAGAGGCCGACTACATATCGTGGTCATTACGTCATCTACTACCAATACAGCTCAACTCAGTGCGTAAAGGATTGTCACCGATGGGCGGGTTGAATGCCTCGAACACAGTGCGTATTACGGTAGAATGTTATTTTCACTGGGCCAGATTGGAACCCCCCCACTCTCTAACCAGTCGTTCAGTTGCTCAAGCACATCCACAGATAGTGGTGGTATTTTACAGTTCTTGGTGTGCGTGAGACCATGTGTCGATCCGTCTAAACCTGTGGATCGTCGGGGTATCCCAGCCCCCGACACAAGAGCTGGATATCTCACCATAACCTGCATTCACGTGAAGATTCCCTCAGACGGAATGCACTCGTTTCACCTGGCCACACATGTTCTTTATCGACGACTCAACACCGTAAGTCATGCCGGCAGATGGTCAAGGCACCACTTCGGTTGATCCATACGGTCGCCCCTGCAGGCCGACCGCAAGGTGGGACTAGTCATGCATGGCCAAACCGTGATGAATAAACTGCGGTTAGGCGTTAGCACATCAAATACTTGTTCACGCGCATATTTGATAGCTTTCATGACCGGTCCTACAGGGCTGAGTTAAGAGTTACATGATGAGATAATGACAATCCGTTCAACCGATTGATATGAAACTTGAAGTACATAGGTTTGCACAAATTCCTGAAACCGTAGACAACGAACTTCAGGTAGAAAAAACTACAAAGGTCTAACCTAAACATCACATTTTCGAGGAGAGTTTGGGGATTTTTTCCTTAGCAGTATTTTGCGTCATAAAGCCCGCCTTTTAAGGCTATTGCCCGGGGCACCCACAACACACTAGTGAATGGTTGCACTTGATGGTCCCTTTTTCACTGCCAGCCAAACTGTAAGGTTGCGTTCAATATCGGTAATGTTCTCATTGTAGCGGATATGACACAGCTTCATGCGTCGAGTGTGATTGGCGAAGATATGCAGGCGCGTTCATGTGTCACAAAGTTGTGGTCATCATCGGACTGTCATGATCCATAGAAAGCCAGGTTATGGTTAACATGGCTCAACTCAGAAATCTTAGTTTTTGAAAAGCAACTGCCTACTCACAGACTGGAGCAGATGCCTCATGACAGGAAAACTAGATCAAAGAATATTTACAGATTAGTCCTAAACAGTATGATTTCTGAAAGTGAGTAAGTTTTTCACAAAACACCCATCGGCATACTAATTTCCTTCTCACGGGAGACTAACCTGAGTCGCAAATGAATCGCACATTCTTGGTGTTCTCCTTCAACTGAATATGGTGCGGCAGGCCGTCCCATGTTTCAGTTATTACGATATTCGAAATAGTGCAATACATTGCATAGACGTAACATTTCTCTTGAATAGTCTACTACCGGATTCATGTGAGTCTCCTGTGAAAAATAAATCGTCGAACTTCGGACAACTTGGGTCCAAGTACAACGTAAGTTTGATGAAAACTCGTGGACTGCGTTTACCTGACGAGCCCCAAGAAGGGCGAAACCGGTCGTTTGTTGTCGAAGAGTTTTCATTAATCTGAATCAACTCTGTATCAACTTACCGTCTATGCACAATACATTTTTCTGTTTTTTTAATCGATCCAATTTTTTTCAAAAAATTTCACTGTAGCTCGAGTAAATCTTCATAATGAATGTTCTATAACACAGTTTTATAGAAAGTTTCTTTGTGAAATTCTTCCTTACGATATAGCTATTCCGAATTTGTGCAGTAGCCTCGTTCCAAGATGGTTGTTTTGGACAGACTTGTGTTTGTGTTTAAGATAGTAAGGCTATTGCCAATTTCGTGATAACTGCTTTTAGGGCGTGATTTGACCGCGTCAACAACCGCTCCCCTACCACGAGTGCCTTTTTGTCATTAGGGAGGTAGGATATATTAACCATACTCTGTATTCCAGGATAGCGACTGGATTTTGAGTGTTGCTGCAGTGTTTGGGTGGAGAAAATGACCTACATGGTAGCTAGTGTCAAGCAGACACTCTTCATTTGTGGTCCTTTGTAACAGTGGGATAGAGCTAACGGTGGGAACGGTTTCCCACGTCAGGAAGCATTCGCTCGACCGTGATGGAGGAAGTGCACATGCTAAATGAAAACAAAACCGTTTCGTCGAAAAATCGTGCGACTTTTTTCACTTTGAAACTGTGCATAACACATGGGACGGTTGTGATAGTCGTAACAGCTATAACGACATCAGTTGCCGACGTTCCCACCCGTCATCGCGGAGCTCACCGTCAAAGGCGAACTCAGTATCACACCACTCGATTCGGCCGATTCGTGAATGGTGTTTGATGCATACGTTCGTGTGTGCGTTCATGCCTACCGATGCTCGAGGCAATGCTTACAGTGACCTTGTGTACATGCGCATACCTACTGTGTAGAGGACCGGTTCCGTTCTCAAGGGCCACAGAAACTGCAAAAATGGGCACTGAAGGCACTAGTAACAGATCGCGGTGTGTGAGGGAACAGTGTGGGAACGACAGGCATAACTTTTTCTACCTCATTCACGGTGTGGATAAGTTTGAGACCATGGGAAAATGTGAGAACAACTCAGTTGTGGTGTCGATTGCGTAGCACAGCGAGTCGGAGAGAATGTTCCTGCGATACAAAACATGTGCGTGTAGACCCACATGTGCAAACCTATCCAGATGGGAATATTTTCAGTAGATCACCAAACAGTTGTCGTGTTTACTGAGAAGAGGCGCTTGCAAGATACGACCCAATGGTGGAACTGCATTGCATTGAGATGAAAATTCATGTATAATATTGCGTAAAAAATTCCAGTCTAATTGATAACTGTTCATTTCACGCCCTTTTATGAGTTGTGTTTCCGTGCTGATCTGTAATGAGTTAACGGCTAATGGTAACATATTCAGGAGTCACGTACCTGAATGCTTCCTGTAGTGAATGCGTAGGGCACTGGAGCAGTTGAACGTTTTATCACATAAATCGCACTGTCTTGTATTCAGTCCTGATTTTGCGGAACTGTTTTCGACACAGCTTTGTAGTGCCGCTCCCTCGGTTGCATTGATGTCTTGAGATTCACTGACAGACAGTCCATTCAGATCGACTGTGCCATGATTTGACGGAGAACGTTTGTCTACCGAGTGGTTGAGCTCATTTGGTTGAAAGGATTCACGGCCTGATGATTCTTTCGTTGAATTGATAAACGACTGAGAGTATGGCCCAGTAACCGATGGTGATGTTACAATATTAGGGTTGATCAACCATGGGAAGGGATGGGTGGGTATGGACCCCATAAGGGAGTTAGATGTGAAGGCAGGTGTTGCAATGGCAGAGTTGGTCGGTGTTGTAGCATCCACCAACGAACGCATTCCCTGAGTAGCTGTCAAGTTCATTCCTTGTTCTTCCAAGTCGCTGGAACAGCTATCTTTCACTGTCGAGAGTGTGGATGAGGCTTGGTTCATTGTACTCCTGAAATTCGAATAAGCAGTCACTGGCGATCCGAAAGATGTCGCACTGAAAGCTGCGACCGATTTTAATAATTGTTCAAAGGAAGCGGTATCAAGCAGCGTTGCTGTAGAACCCATGGTCGCGAGTGGTTGCGACGGTACACTCGGTTTTTGGCTAGGTAGTATTCCAGATTTCGATAGAGCTTCTGTCAGCATTGTGGGGTTGTTAACGGGTCCCGAGTTGCCAGTCGTACTTGAGCCGTTCACAGCTGCAGACATAAACAGTTGACTCAAGGTGGTTAGGGCCGCAGCCAGTGCAGTATTGGGAAACAAATTAGCAGCATTTGCTGCCGTGGAGAGGGTTTTGAAAGGGTCCAGGGCTGACTTGACTTCAGTGCATGGGACGTTCTGGGAACTGGCAACACTAGATGCTACTGTTGTCGATGGGAATGGAAATTTGCCCGCAGCTTGCAACACGCCAAGTAAGATCTCCTCCATTGGTGTTTTGTTGCTCGCTGTGTTGGACAAGTGATCCATATGTTGGGATACTTTGTTCGAATAGGGATAATGCATGGACAGATTCCCCACTGGAAGCCCTGTGATAGAGACGGAAGAAAACACTGGAGAGTAAACCTGATATAGTGGACTGCGTGCCAGAATATCGTCTTCGACTTTTTGTGGATTAGTAAAACTATGAACCAGTATATCTATTCTGATGTGACTGTGAAAAATGCTTCAGGAAAGTCGAGGGAATGTAAGGGGTTTGAACGGTGCAGTTGTAGTTCCTGAGAAATTTGCGCTAGCTAGGCGACCAAACACTGGAGCGCCGAACATTTTTGTCAGTGTTTTACTTGAGAGGAAAATGATCCTCGTTTGTTGATGTTGTTAGCTGGCGTCACATCAAACACCTACGAATCCCATGGCTCATATCTTGCGGGCTCACACGTCCACCAGTATGATCGTGGGCAGGTCCACCAGACACATTTGCGGTGGAGGAAGTCGCACAAGTAAACTTGTTTTTCGACTCATTAACATTTGTTCCGAGAAGCAACGGTGAGGTGGCACACACGATATATACAGAAAAACTCTGGAATGGGACAGACGCTGGTTTGGGAGTCCTGTCATTAGCGTCCACTGTAAGAGTCAAGAACGGTCGAACGATCGCGATTCGATGTCCCAGTGCACAGGAAGATCGTGGCTAGGAAGCCAACGAACAGTATTGACACAACGAACACGAAGTAGATAGGATTTCTTCCCATCACTAAACGGCATGTTTTTTGTCTGTGAGATGGGCGTCAATAAAAGGATGACAGAAATACACCGTCTCATCGCAGTTCTGTGTGTTGCATTTGGGGAACATTCGTTAGATCAGTGATCCTATGTGGGGAGCCCCATCGCAAGTTGTTGCCCTACCAAAAGGGATCAGACTGTGCTCAGAATCTGCCCACGTGACAGTTTCCCGCCTTTGAAAATGGTGAAAGTGAGGTGTTCGGCTATTTTACTCACGTAAAATAGTAGTAAAGAATCTTTGGTGTGATAAAAAAAATCCCAGCATATTGTTCTAAACGCATTCCATTGGAGTAAGATGCGTTCAGCTGTAGCATCCTTTCGGTGCCAATCTGCCATGCCACCTGAAGTAAGCACGAGGGCTGGGATACTGCCAGAATGTCCAAGGCTAGACACGGGAAGTCGGCAGGGGGAGGTCGGGTTCGAACCACGGACCTTCCAGTCAGCAAATTTGTGCTCTAACCGGAGTGATGTGCAGATTTCAGTTATTGCATTATATTCTTCTTGGTTTAGTAGAAGGGAAAGTGGCCATGCGCTATTGACATTTGGAGGGCCTGATAGTGTCCAATTACCAAAAATTAGTAACTCTGTTCAACACTTTATTGTGTATATCAGCTGTCACCTTAACAAGCCACTTTAATGTGCTGTCACGGATTCTTGAGAACAATCAGACACAGTGACTGCTTTGCTGTGCAGGCAGGTGATAACTAACCTTTTCTATTTCAGGATGAACGTTCATTCCGTCCGCAATATCAGCATACAGTGGTGGGTAGTGACAACGATATTGGCAGAGATATCCTCATCAACTTTAGATAGGAATTTAGCATACAGACCCTTCTAGAGGGCTTCCACTATAGCCTTACGACACATGCCTTCTTATCACCTCGCGTGCAGATGTAAGGGAACTACAATCCTGGAAAGTTTGCATGCATTTCACAGGGAATAGGAAGTACCGAATAAGTCAAGGACCTGCCTAGTTTGGAATAGTCTCTTCCCAATACAACCGCGAAACCATGGGCTTGGAATTTCACAGAACCAGGTGAGTTCATCTTCCGCATAATGTTGAGATTTGGGTGAACTCGTGCTTCAAGTGATTCGTCCTAATACATCTATCTACCTCGTCAGTCCATGTTAAGACAGACTGCTTTTCCGGAACCGGCCATTGTGGATACGCCTTCAAAAGCACATCATAAACTCCAATCAGTGGCAACTTCACCGATGTGATCAATAAATCACCACCATTGTCAATTAGTAAGCGCCACGAATTGGTCAGTAAACTTCGACTTACGCAGTCTGCAACCTTGAACATCAACAATCAAGAAATAATTTAAAATACTGTTGAAAATATTCCATTTGTTTTTATGTTCACGTCTCAAAAATACGCTTTTTATGACAGCAATTCCACTCTAACATCATATCCCCTAATTTTTTTCAGTTTATTCGATGTTTCAAACATATCATCTACTCAATTTTGAATTCAACACTAATGAGTATAGGAAAAAATAGCCGTATTTTGTCTGCTATGTCTTGACATGCATCCCATCAACTGAGCTTCAGAGCATCCGCACAATATTTGTCTTCCTTACATAATGCGTACTGTTTTTCAGAACGACAAAAAGGAAGCAATCATCTCATCCAACGAAATTCTGTTTTTCCTTTGCCCCCCACCCCCAAAAAATATGTACGAGTGCTACATGCACTCGTACACATGTGCATATCCACATGCCTGCGAATGGACTACGGTATCTAAGGTGTTGCTAGTGTAACAGCCGGCAAAATCTTATCACCGCAACATCTGTCCACAAACTGGTCGTCGCTGTTCCACTTTTCCCCTGTGTTTGCCTGAGACAGTATGGTTTGTATGTGCTTGGTAGTAGCAGTAGCAGCAGTATTAGTAGTAGTGGTAGTAACTCGTTTGAGTCTTCCAAGGTGACGTGGTTGAACAGGAGCGGGAGAAGGAGAAGATGAATAAGAAGGTGGTGGTGGTGGTGGTGGTGGAGGTACCAGCCGATCCACATACACAGCATGTGCGCGGTTGATTGGCTTTTGTTTACGCATGTTTTATCTCTTTGTTTACCCACAGGCGATGTACTCCCTCATTCGCTATGTGTGGACTACTCACAAACGCACACAATTTTCCCAAACCAACCTCTAATTGTGACTAACTGTATATGGAGGAGAAAACAATGGGTTTTAATAACAATTGGTGCTCTCTGAAAGTGTAATGTCAAAGTTACCAAGGCGTCCACGTCAATCTTCTTTGGATACGAGCAATAAACCAGGCAAGAAGGTTTTACAATAGCTTACCTATCTGTTGTAGTATGTGTTGTCCAAAATGTGTCTCCAAGTCAGCTCGACTGACAAACATTTCAGGACACAAAGTGCATTGAAATGTTCCATCCGACGGCACGGATGCTGTAACAGCACCGTTTGTCAATTCTGTTTCCTGCAAAGTTTTCTTGCTGTGTTGTTCTGGATTTGACATTGTTGATGATTTGTTCACGGCGTGAAATAGATTTAGGCCGGCTGGTAAAGGCAGAAGACTGGTGGGACATGAGTCGAATTTCGAGAACATGTTGGCAACGGATGTGAGTTTTCCAAGAGGCGTTGTCGACACTGAAGTTGTAGCCGCTTCCGAGACAAGATTCAGCGAGTCTGATAAATTACGCAGCCGCATCGGAGAGGATCCAGCAGTATTCTGCAGCTGAGGTGTTGTACGCGTTCTGAGATCACGCATATTGTTTAAGGGCTGATCGAACTGATGGGGACTTGATGTCTTCAGACTAACCGGGAGGCCATGTTCCATTGTTTCGTGGTCTTGCAACTGGCTAGAATGAAGGAACTGACGAGGGCAATAGTGGCAGGAATAGCTTCGGTTATCACTAGTACGTTTCATATGTGTGTTCTTGTGTCGATTCAGCGAGCCTGAAAAAAGACAGGATATTGCTGAGTTCAAACAGCGTGTCTAAAAACAGCAGCCTGTGACAACATGGTGTAGAAGTGAAGCAACAATTTTTGTACACTACTGTTTACATCAATGCTATGAAGATCCAGGTTACGCATCCAGGAGACAAAAATTATCCTTAAAAAGGAACATTCGCCATATGTTGTCCGCATTCACCTCAGTGATATTTTTCCTTCATTTTTTTTTTCAGAAAAAATCAACTCAGTTTATTTTTTTAGGCTGATCGCGTATTGGTTTAAGAGTCACTGTACTCGAGTACCCAAAATAATTGTGGTCCCTCCTGTAAGATCATTCTACTCTGCAGCAGGCAACATAATGAAAGCTTGCGTTTGGTAGAATCTGACTAGAGTCTAGTAGAGTCAGACAAAGAATATTCGGTGCGCAGATCTCAGCGAAATTACAAAACTCAGTAGTATGTAAAACACTCTGTATGGAACAGTCCTCTCTGTTTCCTGACAGCCTGTGTACAATTCACACACACACAGTTCAATCGCAGGCAGTGATTGTGTTATGACAGGTTCAGTGCGTTTGAGGAGTTAACTGTTTGGGGGATCCTTAGAGACTGGGATTGACGAAGTCAACCACTGTAGAATGTGGGTCGTCGTACCGGCCATCCGGACATCTAAGACCACCTGAGTTCGAGTTCAGATAGCATAATCAGTTTTCTCATGCACATGTTGAGAGATGGGTGGAATGGCACATAGATGGCCTGTCAAAGGACCACAAAACGAACCCAATTATGTTGCGTGATACGTCAATGAAGATCGTCGTCAGCTGTAAAACCCTTTCAATGCCTAGTTGCCCGAAGAAAGCACGAGAGCTAAGATATTGATAGGTTGCCCAAGCCGAGCCAACTAACTGGTCTGATGGAAATACAGTTGGAAGGTGTGCCTAGTTGCCCGAAGAAAGCACGAGAGCTAAGATATTGATAGGTTGCCCAAGCCGAGCCAACTAACTGGTCTGATGGAAATACAGGTTGGAAGGTGATATGGACCGCGAATACTCACAGTTGCTCAAAGTGGTTATTTATTACATCAAGGCCAAAATGACCATGAGGTATTTTTGTAATCATACAAGCTGAGTCTGAATTAGGATGGTTGTAATTTTATTGAGGTAGACTCTGGGAGGAGGTATGTTACGGGTGCGGGCAAGCAGGAAGGCGAAACGTGTTCACAGAGGTTATTGCTATGTCGTAGGCCGAAACACCGTGAATGCAATATAAAGATTCTCGAACATCATATTGTAACGATTTAGCTTTGGCGAATCACCGCTTCTCCAGTTTTGTTTTGGAACTGAGATCTGTAGCTCTAAGAAGCGACTAGCATTCCACCGTGAACAAGTTGCTATACTGCCTGAGAAGGCGAGCAATAGTTGACACAGGATTCAATCCGCCGTAAGGTGCAAGTGACCTCGCGGAATAATTTTGTGGCTTTTTGGCCAAGATTAGTTTTCGACCAACTGCCAGGATAGTAGTTCTGTTAAACTACTCTCACAAATTCCTTCGCCGCCTTGCTGATCACGCCAGCTTCTTTTACGACCAGAATGCACTACAACAAAAAGCCAAGTTGTGTTGGAGACGCCGCTCATTCATCTAGAAAACAACGCAGCTTTGTAACTGTTCTGAGCAGCTGCCCGGCACATATTTATTAATGCTGTTGGAACTGGATACAAATGGTAAAATAAACCTCTTTCCCACCGTATAAATGCGGATCGGAGACAAGAATGCCGGTGAAAAATGGTAAAACACTGTGCAGTTGAAGCTCTTGAATGAACAAAGACTATTTGCACACGTTTATGATCAAGTTGGTGTCTTATTGTGATAGAGAATGGTTTGTAAAATGGTCTTTTCCCTAGTAGTCATTTCTATGAGGGGCCCATTGCTATTTAGCTGAACAATTCTAGGGTTCAGATAAAAGCCAGCACATAGCTAGCGATCGTAATAAAAATGGTGGTCAAAACGAGTATCCGATATCAGCTTACTGGTCAGAGTAACCACAGAAAAGCATGGACAAATAATCATCAGAGAAAGGTTTTACCTTATTGAAGTGACAGTGGTCTAAAGGTCCAAAAGATGTATGAATTGGTAATATGTGCCACATGACCGAGACAAGTTCGGTGTTTTTACGGATAGCCTTTGGTAGCATAGCGTCGGCTCACCCAGCGGCATTGCGAAGCCTTTGGATCGATTTTGGACACCTACGGGACACCCTGGAGTTGACTTGAAACGACCTGCTTAGGTTAATGATGTAGTCAGCGGCACATATGTCTGATGCAGTCAAAATCTTGACTGTTCTGGTGGGTCTACCGTTATTCTGGCTTGAAAGTGCTCGCGTATTTTCACATCAGTTTGTTGTCATGCGTCCAACAAGCTGCTTTGAATATCCAGAAGCATAGACAACCACACAGTCCATTTGGACCGATATTCTTCACTACAATACGGGTTGCGGCAGTAGTAAAAAAAACCATAGTCACACTATTGCTGCCGGAAAAGTTCCCTGCCAAGATTAGGAGATATATGAATTCATACTGTCTGTCAACAAGTCACCTAAGTGCCTGTGTTTAAAGTATTCTTCTGTATTCAGAAATCAGCTGACTACAACCGTGCATTCGATGGTTGTAGAGGCAGACAATTGCTGTTCGTTATCTCAAACTAAGCAATAGCCCTCGGAGAAACGTCAACCCAGGTTGTGGTCCAACTACTTTGAGTATCAGTACTGAAATAGGCCGAACACCAGCCAAATCGCCTCAGAGCCCGGATTTATGCATAGTACAGTATGACGTGCGCAAAATTTGAGCCATCTATAGCTAAAGTGTTCACTAACAGTCTTAATCGGCGATTTTCTTTCGAGGGAGAGTGTGATACAGCGAAGTTGTACAAGAAGGTAGAGAATGGAAGTGACGCCGGTGTGTTTGCTATCGTGGGTATTGGTGACCAGTGAGCAGTTAGTCCAGTTAGTTTCAGCTAGTCGAACCAGGTTTTCATGCGCATTTCATTCGGTTAATTGAATGTGTTAAGTGAGAAGTATGATTAAATTCGATCCATTGCTGTTATAAAATTACATCCGCTTAACGTTAGGCTTCTCAGTTGGGGCAACAACATTGATGTAATCGGTGTTTTCCTATTGGTTCATATTATATGAGTAAACTCTGTACAACTATTATGTTTGTACTGCGTTCTATTGGTATGGAGTTAGGCGTTAGGCGACGATAGCTGATCATATATGTAAAGCTTTTACAACGCATCGATACTAGAAACGAAGTTGGTTAAATACATGTTATATTAAAACTTGTTGAAGTCAACCTCTTGCTCATTAAGTTTCTGGCACGGTACCTGTTAAACGGAGTTCCGAACAAGCTTCTTACCACGCAACATTCCAGAACTTGGATACTCAGAATTTTCTTAGTGACCAGCAGTCCATTACGCCTAAGTACATAAACATTCATCAAAGTACAAAACGTCAGTCAATCCTTAGGATAACGGTGCAATCTGGAAAGCTGTTAAAGAGTCATTTGCCGGGGTACCTATTTCTTGACGTCTGAAAATATATCGAGTCCGACAGGGAACGCGTTTCTGTGTCGTCAGTGGGGATGTTTTCCCTCCAGAGAGCTTGATATGCTGAAGTGCAGCAAAAAAAGTATGCTATGACTTAAGACTAATCTGTTTTCACTGTTTGCGTAGTGTATAACAAACACGACATTGAACGACGTCGTACACTGGAAGCTAAAGGGGTACTGAGCTGAATAGTCTGAGAGTCACTGGATTTATGCTGAGACCCATCGCAAGGGAGGTTATTTTCCTTGAAAATTTGCACAGGAGTTTGACATCCGGGAGACGTTTCGCCCAACGAATCTATCAACATACCCACTCCGACAGAATGTTCTGTGGATAACTTGCATCTGTCTTCAACGTATCTTGCACACGTGCTTTGGGTGGCAAGCCGCAGGACAAAAGACGTATTTTAGTTCGGATAGTGGATGCATGTGGCACTGTTTATAGCTCAGGTCTGAGAAAATTCTAGGTGAACTGGATGAGCTTGGACAAAATCTCCGTCTGTTTGGTGCGCACTTGTGGTAGTTCACATGACCCTGAATATTCTACTCATATTGTGGCTGTAACAATTACTACGTGAAGCGATCAGCGCTCATCAAACCTTGTCACTTCATCCTTCTATCTATGGCGATTCCTATTGAAACTGAATTTCAGATCCTGTGTACAGAGGGGTGATGGTGATATGAGGGAAGATACGCAGCGACTTACTGAATATCTGCGTAGATGCACTGTTCACCGGAAATCTGTGAAGAACTTAAGATCAGAAACTCTTGAGTTCAAATCGAAAGGTCCGTGCATGGCCCAATTTTTGTATCGGATTTGGTCTGTTTTAAGTTCCCTGACCTCAAAATACTGGCAGGGGTGTTCGATAGGCAGTTCAAACAATGTACTGTCCAGCAAGAACGATTGACTAAACCAGTGTCTGATTTCCTTAGGAAGTCAAACAGCTCATGCAGGTCATTGCATCAAAGTAATGTGCATACAGTTTTAGTCTTTAATTCACTATTTTGTCAGTGAGCAATTTTCATATCGAGAGTCAAACATAGTGGTAGCCGCGGCTTGCACTGTTTTTAGACATACAATGAAGATTAGAATAGATTCCGTTTTGCTCACCGTTACTTACTGCCCGATTTGCGAACATCCAGGAAATACGATGGCCCACATTCATTCACACATCATCTTGTATCTCATAATTTAAATAAGCCTGAGGTTCGGATCATTTTTTCCATATCATTCAACCCAGATTTGATCTGATCGAATGTTGGCTGGTTTGCAAGAATGATGTTCAGTTTTCCGACATAATCGACTCTGCTGATTTTCTCGTCGTCTGGTAAGACTTTCCGGATATTTTTGCAACACGCATTTTGCTCCTGGGGCAATT